GGTAAGGTTTGAGCTCGGCCAAAGGGTGGAGGCCAGCAGGTGGGTGGGCCATGTGTTCCTGCACAACCTGGATTAATTGCTTTGGGGGGCGGTTATTTTTCTGCGGACCAGCAAAATTTTCTCGCAGACCACCAGTGGTCCCTGGCCCACTGGTTGGTGGCCACTGCTTTGGAGAACAGGTTGATCCCCTCTTCTTTGTGGCAGCCCCTTAGAAATTGGAAGACTGCTATCCTGTAACTCCTGGTCCTTCTTTTCATTTCTAGTCTAGCTTACAGTTTGGTCGTCCTTGAGAGTGTGTAACCTGAAAACATTAACTACACCTAGCTCTGCTCAGTTTTCCAGACCAACTTAAACTGACACTTATTGTGACCCTTTTCTGTGAACGCAACATAAGTGGTACAAAACTACAGGAAATCTTTGACTTACAATCACAATTCAGACCAGAATTTCTGTTGCTGAGCAAGGCGATTGTCAAGTGAGTTGTCAGGTTGTTGTGCGAATCAAGGCAGTTAGGTGAATTGCACAATTGTTAAGCCAGTCTGGCTTCCCTCACTGACTTGGCTGGTCAGAAGCCACCTGGGAAGGTTGTTCAAGACGGGATGGGATGGTAGTTGCCAAGGGCCTGAATGTTAATGGGGACCGTGTGAATGCTGCAACGGTCGTAAGAGTGAGGAGTGCAGAGGTGGTATTTGGTAGGTTCTGACCAGTTCTGGAGAACCAGTAGCAGAAATTTTGAGTAGTTCGGAGAACCGGCAAATCCCACCTCTGACTGGAGATTTTACAGTATCCTTCCCTGCCACGCCCACCAAGCCATGCCTACAGAACTGGTAGGAAAAAAAATTGAATCCCACCACTGGAGGAGTGCTTGTATGTCACTATTTTCAGTGCCATTGTAACTTCAAAAGGTTGCTAAATGAATGATTGTAAGTCAAGGTCTATCTGTATACATATACAGGAGGTGATTCTTTGTATCTATGTTTGCACAACTAGGTCTTCCTTCCTTCCTCTCTCCCTCCCTCTCTTACTCACTCACACTCACTCCTTTCTTTTTCCTTCCTTCCTTCCTTATTCACTCATTTCTTTTGTTTTTCCTTCCTTCCTTTCTTCTTCATTCACTCACTCCTTTCTTTTTCTTTCCTTCTTTTCTCCCTCCCTCCCTTTCTTTTTCCTTCCTTCCTTCCTTCCTTTCTCACTCACTCCTTTCTTTTTCCTTCCTTCCTCCCTCTCTCCCTCCCTTCCATCTTTCTATCTGTGGCTGGATAAGAATAGTACTGTGACTGTCTGGAAAAAGAGGTGGATGAATTTCTACTATTGCAAAACATCTGCCAGTATCGATAGGTAATTGACTGGAATATTGAATATTAAAAAGGACCGAGCTATTGGGTCCAATAATTTCAAATAATTTGAACTGCAGTCCAAAACTTTAGTTTAATTACTTCTCGTACATTTATTATGTTATTTTTTAAAATCTCCCAAAGCTTAAATCGTTTCTCCTTTCCTATCACTTTGCGCTCTAGTTTTATATTAAACAGTAAATGCTTTCAGCTTTGCTTGTATTTTGTAAATGGTCCAAATGCATTAACAATGGTTCCCTCCTTGGGATCAGCCCCACTGACCATCCTTAGTGATTTAAAATGCAGGTAGTCCTCAACTTACAACCACAATTGAACCCAAAATTTACGTTGCTAAGTGAGACATTGATTAAGTGAGTTTTGCCCCATTTTAAGACTTTTCTTGCCACTTTTGTTAGGCCAATCATTGCAGTTGTTAAACTAGTGACCCGGTTGTTAAGTGAATCCGGTTTGACTTTTGCTTGTCAGAAGGTTGCAAAAAGGAATCATATAACCCTCGGGGACTGAAACTGTCATGAATACGAACCGGTTGGCAAGCATCCAAATGTAAATCACATAACAAAGGGAATGCTGCAACGGTCATAAGTGTGAAAAATGGTGATGAGTTACTTTTTTCAGTGCTGTTGTAACTTTGAATGGTCACTAAACAAACTGTTGTAAGTAGAGGACTAGCGGTAAGCCCATTAGAGGCAGACCTGCTTTCCCAAATAAGGATGGTAATACTATTTTCAGTTGCAGGGAAAAAAATAACAAGAAGAATAGGAAGTTGCCCTTTGAAAAATGTACAGGAAGGGAAAATTCTATTCAGGTATAAGATTCTACCGAAGCCTATTAATTTAAGGAAGGTACTTTAAATGCTTTGGCATTTGTAAAGGATATTGAGTTGCCTTTGGAGGAATACAATAAGCAGTTAAGAGCTGCAATAGAAGAAAGCAGATTGTGCTGTAATTAAACGGAGCTTGGCTCACCCAAATGACAGAGCTTTGTTGCAGAGCTCAAATTTAACAACAAAGCCATCCAAAGCTCAACCAGCCACCAAAGACTCTTACGGTAGGCACTTCCTTGCAAGTCCATAATCACGGTGCTACGTGAACAGTAATACCTGGGCTTTTTTCAGGACTCTTTGTTGCGGGCATGTATTGTCAGAGAGGCCAAAACAAGGAAGTAAAAAAGAATGCCCCTTCGCCCAAATGTCAATCAGAATAGAGGTGGAAGGGCCCTTGGAGGTCTTCTAGTCCAACCCCCTACTCAAGCAGGGGACCCTTTCCAATAAGTGACCCACAGGGCTGGCCTGGAAATAGCAAAGGAACGGCCCATGGCGTTCAATTTTTGGCCTGGACAATCTCCTGTAGTCCTCTTCCAGTGAAAATGGGGCATGGGGGCCTCAAGCGCACCCCCCCTGCACCCTGTTTTGGCCAGCAGGGTGCTTAAGGAGGCATCTGTGCCATCTGCCCACCCTCCCCCCGTGGCTGGCCCTTGGAGGAGAACTACAAGGCTGATCTGATCCTTGAAGAAATGTCGTTTGACACCCCTGGCCTAGTCTCTTATGCTGCTATCATGTCACCCTTCGTCTTTCTTTTCTCTAGACTAGCAAAACCCGAATCCTTCAACCGTTCCTCGTATGTTTTTGTCTCCAGGCCCTTAATCATCTTAGTCAGTCTTCTTTGCCCTTTTCCCAAAGGATCAACATCTTTTTTTGTGACGCGGTGACCAAAACTGGATGCAGTGTTCAAATATTATATATCCACCCTGAATTTTTTGGGAGTGGGTGCAGCCTTGAAGTTCCATAATAAGAGTTTTGTTTGTCTGTATCCTGCCTTTAATGTTTTTACAAATAACTGAGGATAGCAAACATATCCAACCAGAGGTGGTCATTCAGCCTATTCTGACCAGTTCTGAAGAAACGGTAGTGGAAATTTTGAGTAGTTTGGAGAACTGGCAAATACCGCCTCTGACTGGCCCTGCCCCCATTTATTCTCTGCCTCTTGAGTCCCAGCTGATTGGCTGGGTCTTTTGTTGCCCTGCACAGGAGAACAGAGCTGGAAAGCAGGTTAGTGGAGTGGGGAGGGAATGGGGATTTTGCAGTATCCTTCCCCTGCCACGTCCACCAAGCCACACCACGCCCACCAAGCCACACCCACAGAACCGGTAATCCCACCACTGATCAGGGCTGTCAAACTCATGGCTGGTGGGCCCAATGCATCACCCACTGACTATGCCCATACCCAGTTTGGCAAAGAGGAAAAATGTCACCATATATCACCTGATGCCGCCATGAGTTTGACATCCCTGATCTAGATATTTTTTTTAAAGAAACCCGTATTAATTATGGAAAATCGTTAATCATTAATGGCCCAAGTGGGTCAAGAGGTCAAGAGTATCAGGACACAATTCAAGGAGGTAGCTTTCCGTAGGGCAGGTATTGCAACAGAGGTGGACCTCAGTTACACACTGTTCTGAATCTGTGGATTGTGGTGCGTTACAAAAACTGAGAAATAAATGAAATTCGGTAAATAAGGCTGCCAGAATAAGTCAGGCTTGAAGGAATCAGGAATAGATTTTTGTGCAAAATGGACTGTGAGTTCAGTTCATTTCCGGGCCTGAAAATCAACCAGTCATGGGTTTGGAGCTAACTTGTTTGTTTTATTTTGAACGTATGATGTTTGCATCTTGCCTTGTAAGAGGCCTGGCGGTGCAGTAGTTAGAATGCGTCATTGCAGTCTAACTCTGCCCACAGCCTGGTGTTTGATCCTGATGGGACTCAAGGGTGACTCAGCCTTCCATCCTTCCAAGGTTGGTAAAATGAGGACCCAGATTGTTGGGGGCATTACGCTGACATTGTAAATTATCCTGAGAGTGCCGTAAAGCACTGCAAAACAGTATATAAGCATAAGTGCTGTTGCTGTTGCTTATTGTACCCTATGACTATTATTAAGTGTTGCACCTGATGATTCTTGACTCTTGATGAATGTATCTTTTCTTTTATGTACACTGAGAGCATTTGCACCAAAGACAAATTCCCTGTGTGTCCAATCACACTTGGCCAATAAAGAATTCTATTCTACTGTATTATTCTATTGCCTCGATATTCTAGGAAGCATCAAAACAAGCAGGTACTCTATCTAGAATAACTGTTGAGGTGTTTCAAGTTTATAAGTGCTCATTTATTAAAAAAAAACTTTTCCCATCATCTTTTTCCTGAAGATTTTGAAGATTATGATTGCATCCTACCTTTTGAGCAGATGAGAATAGAATAGAATATAACTTTATTACGGTCTTAGACCAGCAATAGACATCACTATTTATAATATATTAAAAAATAGTACCAACACATTATAGTACATTAATAGTGGATAATAACATCCCTGTTAAGAAAATACATGTTCCTGGTTTATATGAGTTGAGAGCCAATAATTATGTGTGTAAATTTAATTTTCCAAAGATTGTAATATCTCCAAAAATTGGCACAAATTGACAGCTATAATTCTGTAACCAATTTTTTTCTTGTAGACATTGCAGCAACATGAGCAGATGAGAAGATATTGGGCATAGTCTAGAAGATGCTTGGAAACACCCAGTTGTTCCTCAGCTTGATTGCTTCGATTCCTCCAAAGACTCGCTGATTGCTTTTTTAAAAAAGAAAGATAGAAAAAAAGAAAAGAAATGGTCACCCTTTGTCATCTCATCATGCTTCCAATTCTGGCTTAAACAGCTCCCTAAAATGCTCTTTCTGCTTCTTATCTGGTTCTTGAAGGAAAATGTTTGTGGGGACTTTAGTGCTTTGGTTTCTGCTCAGTCCAACGAAAGACGAGTGGTGGCCTACATGCCTGGAGATGTTATCATTGGGGCTCTCTTCTCCGTCCATCATCAGCCGTCTGTTGACAAGGTCCACGAGAGAAAATGTGGAGAGGTGAGAGAACAATATGGAATCCAGAGAGTGGAAGCAATGCTTCATACCCTCGATCGTATCAACCAGAACCAAATTCTGTTACCCAACATAACCTTGGGTTGTGAAATACGGGACTCGTGCTGGCATTCAGCTGTTGCTCTTGAGCAGAGCATTGAATTCATCCGCGATTCTCTCATCTCGGCAGAAGAAGAGGAAGGACTGATGAAGTGTGTTGATGGCTCTACGTCTATGTATCACGCTAAGAAGCCCATTGTGGGTGTGATAGGTCCCGGGTCCAGTTCCGTGGCAATCCAGGTCCAAAATCTGCTGCAGCTTTTCAACATACCTCAGATTGCCTACTCTGCCACAAGCATGGACTTAAGTGACAAGACTTTGTTCAAGTATTTCATGCGAGTGGTACCTTCAGATGCACAACAGGCCCGTGCTATGGTGGACATTGTCAAGAGGTACAACTGGACCTACGTCTCTGCAGTACATACAGAAGGTAAGAAGGTTCTTTTGTTGTTGTTGTTGTTGTTGTTGTTTTATACACAAGGTTTCCTTATATGCTCTCTCTGTCTGTGCTTAAATAGCAGAGACACCCATGCACAATATTCTTGATTTACTGTTTAATATTTAGGGTCAACCACTGCTGCATTTTGCCTACATTTCATGAATGTCATAATGATCCTATTTATTATTATTTCACTAGACAACTTTGTGAACCATTGGGTCATTGCTTCTTTACTTAAACACAGAAGGAGGATTACCACAGGCAGGCAAAATAGTATTGGAAGCAGGAGCAACTTCCTGCTGGCTTCCCCATTGACTTTGTTCCTCCTCTGTCTCTCCCTTTTTCCCTCCCAGGCAGGGGTGGGCTTCAAAAATTTTAGCAATGGGTTCTCTGCCCGGTTGCTGGGTGGTTGTGGCATGGTGGGCGTGGCCTAGTCGGCCTTCTGCACCTTGGTGGAGGGCGGCATTTTCACCCTCCCTGGGCTCCAGAGTCTCTGGGAGGGCGAAAATGGTCCAATTTCTGGCCTTCCACAACTTCCAGGAGCTCATTTTTTCACCCTCTCCTGGCTCCAGAGACTTCCCTCGAGCCTCAGGGAGGGCGAAAACTGCCTCCCCAGGCTCCGGAGGCCCTCTGGAGGGCAGAAATGGACCCGTTTCTGGCCTTCTGGAGCTTCGGAAGACACATTTTTTACCCTCCCCGAGCCTCCTCATGGGCCCTGGGGTCCAAAACGGGCTGCACGGGGGCTCCTGGAGAGAAGCGGGAAGAAGATGGCAAGGAGCATTGAGCAAACATACCGGTTTTTGGCCTCTCCATCAACTTGTGGGAAGCTGTCAGGGAAGTATGTAGATATATAGTATATATAAAATGTGGGTTTACATTGATATGGAACTCAAAAAAGGGGACTAGGATTTGATTTGGTTTGACTAGCTAATATTCATTAGCAACCCAATTTTATGCATTCTTCCTTAGAAGCGGGCCCTATTGAGTGTAACAGAATATAGACAGTGCTTGACTTACGGCTGTTTGTTTAGTGACCGTTCAAAATTACAATGGCACTGAAAAAAGTGACATATGACCGTTTTTCCACACTTGCAACATCCCCAGGGTCACGTGATCAAAATTCAGGCAACTGACTCATACTTATGACGGTTGTAGTGTCCCGGGGTCACGCGATCCCTTTTTGCGGCCTTCTGACAAGCAAAGGCAATGGGAAGCCAGATTCACTTAACAACCGAACAACGGTGGTGATTCACTTAACAAATGTGGCAAGAAAGCTTGTAAAATGGAGGAATAGTCAATTAACAAGTGTCTCGCTAGCAATGGAAATGTTGGGCTCAATGGCGATCGTAAGTCGAGGATTTTCTGTATATGGCCTTGCAAGTGTGGTTGGGAATGCAGCCATTATTAATTCATCGTTTAAGCAGTGTGTTGTGTTTATTACCATGATATGTTTGCATACCTCGTAATAATTAAAAGATTAATGATGTGTTATATTGTGTGGATTTCACAATAAACTAAAGGTAAGTCTTTTCATTTCTGGATGTAGTTTTAGGCAACTACTTGCTCCATCTGCAGATTTAAACATCTGTATGACCCCATGTGCTCCAATTTATTTTATATACTCAAAACAGTGTAACACTATTCCACAAGGATTTTTTTTTTATTGATTTTGTTTTACAGAGGTTACTTCAATATGTTTTAGGTTTCATGAGGATCCCTATTGATGCTTCATAGCTAGCTTGATCTAGTGTTAAGGCACCAGGCTAGAAAGCAAGGGGTCGTGAGTTCTAGTTCCACCATGAAAGCCAGTTGGGTGACTTTGGGCCAGCCACTTTCTCTCAGCCCAACCCACTTCAAAAGTTTGTTGTTGTGTGGAAAATAGGAGGTGTATTGGATACGCTTGCCACCTTGAGTTATTTGTGAAAATAATAAAGTGGGTTATAAATAAATGAATGAACAAATGCAAATAAATACACATTCCTTGTTTTCAGTTGGTTCTCTATTCCCAATCTTCAGATTCAAACATTTTTGAGATCCTTGGTGCAATCAAGAATCACAGTGCATAGCACTTTATAAAGAATAGGATTAATTCAACTCTTCTTTTCAATTCATAATTTGAATAATTTGTCCTTTAACAGGTGGCTGTCTGGCATCCTCATTCCAGGCAGAGATGATTTTTTTCTGAGCAAGAGTACACCGTGGACTGCAGGAGCTTTAATATATGATATTCATATATCACAATGCAAGAAAATAGAATGAAGGGTTATCCACAATGCTTTGCATTATACACAGTACTAGGCATGATGGTGTTATATAGTTGGGTAATGAAACGTCTGCAAGAAAACAAGCAGGTTTAGAAAGCACTAAGGACACCACAGTCCTCCTCCATTTCAGACACTCCACTCCTTTGTAGCACTGATAATGTTATCTAGTTTGGTAATGAACTGCCTGCAAGAAAATCATCAAGCTCAGAGACCCCACAGTCCAAACCTGAACTATATATATTCTATTGCGAGTACTGTGTACCACTCCTTCAGGTCCTGAATGAAAGGTGGGATACAAATCAAACAAACAAAAGTTCAAGAAATTTGGACCAATGTGAACTCCCTTAATTTTATATAGGACTCATTAAACAACTTAATTTTTTGTGTCATACCCTGCCTTTCTTTTAGGAATTGAAAGACGCTTCCATGAATATCTTTTTGCAGTTTATTGTGGGATCAGATGGGGCTGAGAGAAGGAAGGTCTAGGCCAAGCATCACAAGCTGCCATGAACTAGAACCGAGTTTCTCAACTGCAACTCTTTAACCACTGTTGCTAGCTCACATCAAGCTTATTCAGTTGCTTGTGATTAGAAAAGAGTTGATCTCATGGATTGTTAATTGAGTAAAGAACAGGAATTGGAGAATAGGAGTCAAGGAACAATTTTCAAATTCTAGAGAAATTTGGAGTGAGATTTTCTAGGGATCAGTGATCAGGCTGATATCTATGGAGATTCTCAACCATCCAGGTCATGGTTGTCCCAAAAGTGTTTGTTTTTTTCAAAAGTCAAATGGATTTTCTTGGTTTTTCCTTGAAGACATTTTGCTTCTCATCCAAGAAGCTGCTTGGATGGGAAGTGAAATGTCTTCAAGGGGAAAAGCAAGGAAGTCCAGTTGGGTGGTAGGTTTTTATTTGCATACACATGATCTGGAGAGATTTGCCATTCTTGACCCGGAGAACAGGAGATGTTACAATAAAGTAAGAGTCATTGACGTCAATCTCCTTAGCCAACACATCAGGAGTTGAACTTGATTCTAATGGGAAGAAGGTTTTTCCGTGTCATTAACCATTTAAACAAAGCGCTTAACCCAAAAGTCCTTTAGCTGACATTATGAAAATGCCTGGCTAATTAGCTTAATGAAACAGGCCAACCGCCAGACTATTCATCACAACAGTGGCAGCTATGAACAATATAAAAGATAAAGGTCCATGAAAATTGGGTGACACAGCAAGGCCAGTGCTTGGTAATTGGGGACACTGGATTTTTGGGGTGGATAAGCATCTCAATCCTATCCAAAATAAAATATTATCTAGTGGTGCCAGTTGTCAAATCACATCTGCAAGATATAAGGAATAAGACCTCCAGCTTCTTGTGATGTGATGGAATAGAAACATCTTTGGGCATTCCATGGAGAACTTGCTCAGTCATGCCCTATGATATTTGAAGAGTACTATCTTAAACAGGGTCTTTGAGTCAAATGGTTGAGTTTTCTCTTCCAATCCACTCTTTTATCTTATGTCCTGTGGTTCTTCTGAAGTTGCAATGCTGATCCATGGTGGCACATTGATTAGAATACAGTATTGTATTGAATCAAGGAACTAGCAACTCAGACAAACAGGCTAACTATAAACAGCAGCCTAATCATTGAACCACCAAGAATACTCCCATCAACATTGATAGAGCAAGCCACTTATATATATAAACAGACAGCAAATCCCTTCCAGTACTGATGATGTTACCTAGTCGGGTAATGAAATGTCTGGAAGAAAACAACCAAGCTCAGAGATCATCAGGAACCCCACAATTCAACTTTGATCTACAAAGATTCTCTTCTATGAGGGAGGTGGTTATTTTGCGTGGAAGAACATTCACTGTCAAGCACAGGGAAATCAAGAGATTCAGGCAGTTCAAATGAGTATAAAGATTTATTGCTTGCTACAAGAATCTGACCAATTAACGGTCAAGAGAAATGAGCGGGAGATAAGAAGGGCATTCAAAGTGAGCTGGGTTTAGATCTCTTGTGGTTGTGCAGGGACTCATGACTTATGACACTTTTGACCCCTCCCTCAGGCCAGCCTGGTCATATAGAAGACTATATCTACTATAACATCTATGAGAAGCTACTGATAGTGCATGCTAGAATTTTACTGCTAATGTTAGAATATTTTTCCCCTTTTCTTCCTCCTATATTTCACGGATGTATCTAAAAAAGTCCATCAAGTCAATGCACTAGAAGATTTTATGGTTACATGGCACTCGGTGTGGACTAACTAAATGAATACAGAGAAATAGTCTTTATTTGTTGGGCGCAATCCAAATAAATTAGTTGTGCTAATAAAGTGCCTGTGATTTCACAGGGAGCCAGTTTAAAAAAAACAACAACTTTGGAACAAAGCCTTTAAAGGCTTCTTTCTTGTTAAAATAATTTTTTTTCATTTTCATTCTAAGAAGTTTATTTCACATTTCTCCATGAAGCTGCTGAGATAGCTAATAACCAGTTCATTTGTATAAAATTCAGTAAAACAAATGAAGATGGAAAGATAAAAAAATATCGAGAAATAAACAGCAGTAAAACAAATTAGAGTTTCACCCACTAACAGCTTTCTAGCAGTAAAATGTTTCATCTGCTCACGCCGTGAGCCTAGGATCCATGCTTCAATAGCTTCCCCTCTCATCAAGGGAAATTAAATTTATAATGGACTTTCTAATGAACAGCAAACTTCCCAGA